AATGGTCAAAAACCACTGATCACACACGAAATTGATCAATATACGTATAACTTTGAACTCTGAAAATTGTTCATTTTTGTGCCATATTTAGAATAAGTATCAATTAAATTCTATCATCTCGGTGCCATTAAATAAATTAGAAAATCGACTAAGTAATGCTTTAAATTTTGTTCAATTAAACAGTTTATCGATTTTAAAAATCAAGAAATATTTAATCCTGTGAAATCATACTCGGGTGTGGTTATCTGTCATAGTTTCCTTCATTCAAATATTACAGAGTTGTTGAAATCCGGATCATCAGGAGAAATATTTACAATATATTAATTATTCATCTGAATAATTAAAAAGAAAATATAAATATAAAAGAAAATATGGATTAACTTTGCTTTATTGCTGGAATAGTGCTTGGGTAACTAAATTTTACATAAGACTCCATACATGCCAAAGAAAAAAAATTAGATTTGTAATTGATAATTATGTTTCCGAACAACCTCCGGAGGCGGATTTTATGAAAAATTAATTATAAGGATTTTTGGTTGAACTACAACGGGAATAAACTGAAACGTCCCTGCATGATGCACGTGTCGCCTACCCGTTTGACCTGGGGTCATATGAATTGTATCTTTTCAACAAGTCTCCATTAACAGCTTTTTACGTCCGAATAAAAAAACAAACATTATTTTTCATAATGACATGCAACCCTCATTAGTCGGTTGCAAAAATATGTGCCAAATTTCTAAACTTTCTATTTTGTCATCTTACATCAAAATTAGCCCTTAAGCCAAACTACCCTGCTTTATAAAATATCAAATCAACTTAAACTAGGCAATTATTTTTAATTAGATTTTGTAAATCGCATTTAATCGCATTAGAAATCCTTAAAAGTTTAAAATACTTAACATAAAGGTTAACTAATGAACAATACAACACAATATAATAATAAAATATAACCTAGTTTTGTCCTTTCTCAAATCTCAAAGTCTCGTACGAAACTAAAATAACAAAGAATACCATGGATGGAAAATACGTAACCAATTGTCACGCAAAGAAGATTTAGAAAAGATAATATAACTGTCGAGGCTAAAGAGAGCAAACGAGTGTAAGGACCAAATCTCTCTCCAACAAAACCCCTGGGACGCATACCATTCAGCTGAGGACAGTACAATTTGTGTGAGCAGGAATTACTCATGAACAAACTAGAGGATGCACAGAGATAAAGTTAAAGTCGCTATGTACAAATTACCTTCAGCTCGACAAATCTCCAATAAAGCCATATAATAACCTATAATAGACTTGCAAAACCGGTGCAGTAGCCACAACCAGCACACGTTCGAAAGATAATACTTGGTTGGTTTAAAATAATAAACAATTTATTCAATTGTTATAAATAGGAAGGCAAACTTTGACCTATTAATTAAAAAGCTGGGTTTGACTCAAACTACAAACTTCCACTTTGTTGAGTTTCAACAGATACATGCTGATTGACGTTGGAACTGGCAAAGTGGAACCTAAAATGCACAAAGAATGCATTTTCTACGGTTTGGACATGAAGTAGGGTAAATCAACAATTGCTGGTTCCGTTATGGACCGAGATTTACATGCACCATGTACTTACACGTAGGTGCACATAAGTAAAGTTAAAATCTAAAATGCTGGTCTGGGAATACGTGAGAAATATCCAATGCAATATCGTACGGCATAGCAAACATGCAAATCCAATCAAACCATTACAGGCAAAAAGAGAAGCACACCCTGGTGTACTTGCCAGGTTCAAAACAATCCAAGATTTGTTCAACTGTTCATGGATTCATGCTGACTCTGCCTTCTGACTAGAAGAAGCAGTTTTGGAACGCTGAGTTGGATAAGCTTCATGGCAAAATGGCATCTACGAATGCACAAATTTCTAAATATGAATGCATTTTCTATGTTTTGCACATAAAGTAGTAGTAGTAGTAAATCCTACAAAATAAAATCTACCTATTTCTGTTCTTACTCTTAAAAAGCACACAGAGGCACAGTTAAAGGCAAAAGGGTTATTATTTAAGGTCCAAGCTAGACTGCCAGTGCCTGACAAACCTTCAACGCTTTGGAAAAGCCATATAGCAAGCGTTAACGAGCTTCCAAAACATCGGGTAGCAATCACGCCTATCACACGCCAAAAAAGAGAAGCAACTCAGGGGTATTATAGCTCTGTACAATGTTCGTAGATACATTCTATGGTTCGGACATAAAGTAATCGATATTTGTAGTTTTATTATAAACAGAGAGGTTTCATTATTACCCGCAAAATAAAAAAGTTGCTCTATTCGTTATGCAGATACGATCATAAACTTAGGTGTACAGACGTATAATATGTTCACCTCCAACATAATATTGAAGTACCTGCCTAATCTTCAATACTTTGTAAAGCCATATGACATCCTTAAAGCCATATGGTAACTCATAATAAGCTGGAAACCCAGTGCAGCAAACACACCCATCACACGCCAGAAAAGAAAAACATACTCTGAAGTATTTGCCAGATTCAAAATAATAAAACTGTTTGCACATACTTCTATTGTTTAGATATCAAGTAGTCAATATCGTCATTTTTATCACGAACAGCGAGGTTTCACTATTACCCCCAAAATACAAAAGTTGAGCTATTCGTTTGGGACAAAAGACGTTAGATGTATAAGCTGTACAGACGCATAATATCTTCAGCTCCAAGATAATTTTGGAGTACCTGCCTAATCTTCAATACTTTGTAAAGCCATATGACATCCTTAAGCCATATGGTAACTCATAATAAGCTGGAAACCCAGTGCAGCAATCACACCCATCACACGCCAGAAAAGAAAAACACACTCTGAAGTATTTGACAGGTTTGAGCATTTGAGAGTTTGACTCCAAGCTAGTCTGGGCGGTCCTGACAAATCTCCAATGTCTGGGATATAAGATAGGATAACCCATAATCCGTAAAAATCTTGTAAAATCGGTGCAGTACTCAAAACCATCTCATGGCAGCCAAGAGAACCTTAGTTCTCTAGTATTGCTAGGTTTAAAATAAACAACAATTTGTACAGCTCACATCTACATGTCGATTTTGCCTAGAAGAAGCAGACCGATTACTGGTAAACTGAAACCTAAGAATGCTTAAATTTATAATGAGATAACATACCCATATCATCACATTACATTCCACACATCAAATATTTTTCACATAGTCTAATTTCCCAACAATTTAGCTTTCCTTTTCCCATTTNTTATTCTGAAACTTACATCACACCAGACCGCATCTCACGATTTCTAAATAAATAGCGATTAACGGTCACTAATCACCACACATTTATAATGAGTGCATGTTTTATGGTTAGGACATATAGTAGGGTAGATTTTGGATGGATCTGGTTAAGTCGTGGATAGTAGTGTTCTACCATTATCAGATACCCCTCAGAGTAGCTCATTAAATTACCTTTGTTTAATCAATATGGGATACCCATTACTTCTTCTTTGAGAGGGGTAAACCTGCACACACACCACAGCACATCAGTCACAAAGTTTCATTTTCTCAATAAGATTTAAAGAGTGTGTTTTGAAGTGTTCCCAGCGAAACCTGAATTTTCTGCCTTATTGTACACAAAACTTTGCCCCTATATCCGGACCTCATCAGGATTCATCAATTTGTTAGCGAGATATTAAGGGACGCCCTGGGGGCAGATTCATCAGCCTCAACTTATCTTTAAAACATCGTGCACGTTCATTAGGGCACGACCGTTTAATAATTGTGCCAAGTTTCCGACGATTAGTTAACAATATTTTAAACAAGTTTGGAAGTATCCCGTTTATTGTCGCGGACATCCTTTCGTATTGGTGCCAATTTAAAACACGATTACTCTATTTTTTTTACACATACATAATTATATTTCATTAAGTAAAATCAGTCGATTCGAGACAGTGTTTTCAAATGTTCAAATTATAAATATGTTGGCCGTTGTATTTAAGAAACAGCAAAAATGTTTTTATATTTTTAAGACTCATACAACAAACTTTTACCAACGTGTATGGTATTTGAAAGAAATTTACAATTTGCAAAAATTGATCTAATGTGTATAAAAAAATTTATTTCATGAATTATATGTGTGTTTATCTATCAAATACCAGTACATCGGAAGTACCTATTTGATTGTGAAAGGCGATGAAGTAAAGACGGTGGTGTGTCATGTTTAGTACATAAACACGTGTCATTTACTGGGTCCGCAGATTTCAGTGCGATCGGACCCAGCAAGTGACCTTGTGCCAGTACTACTACTGACTGCTGACGTTAAAGTGTAAATGGTTAAATGAAACTATAAATTAGTTTTTTATTTATTTAGAAATCGTGAGATGCGGTCTGGTGTGATGTAGGTTTCAGAAAAACAATTCTTTATCGTGCCAACGTTTTTGCCATTTTCTATACCGACATCCTTCCCCACCTTTCAAATTCCAACGTATATAAACACAAAATAGCAAAATCTCACTGGCACTCTTGACACGACACGCAAGAATGGCACAATTACACAGAAGACAAACACTTTGAGTGAGTAGAAATACTTTGATTGAACATATAAAATATATTTTTCATTGTATAAATTTACTTTTCCACATACAAAATGAAATTGTAATATGTAAACAATGTTTGTAAATCCCAGGCCCTGAAGATGATCTCAATAAAGATCGAAACGTTGGCACGATAAAGAAAACGTTTTTCTGAAACGTACATCATACCAGACCGCATCTCACGATTTCTAAATAAATATCGATTAACGGTCACTAATCACCACACATTTCTATAAATTAGTCCTATTTTTATTATTAAACTTGGAGTTGTTATCTTTCTGTCCTTTTTAACCCTGCATGAAACACCTACACTTGTTTATAAAATTTGCTTTCTTAAAGGAATAAATCCATATGCATGGTTTTATTTAACGATTTAATTTTAAATTACTCTCTATTAATAATTTTAAACAAAATTTTCTTACCTGATGTTCTGTGCAATACTATAAGATAGGCGATGAGGAGGGCTACATGCGGAGGTGGTCTCATTGCCATGTGTTGATCTTAGCCGGGGAGGTCCTTCAGACCACCCTGCGCCCCCAGCCACATCTCACCAACACGCCTGTGAAAAAAAAACGTAAAAACTATCAAATTTGGCCTATTGTGACGTTTTTCCTTTTCTCCCTTATTGAAAACGCGGCTTTTTAGAAGCTCGAAACGTCCCGTTTGGGATTTATTGTCTTATACAAACCCTCACGGTGTCGGTCGATAACGGTGAAGTGATCTCGACTGTAATTTGTTGTGTCAACATAAAGCGAGGACTGTGTTATCTGAACGTCAACAACGCCATGAATCGATCCTTGAAACTCAGGTGGATCCTGCAATCCCTGTGCGGGCATCGTGTTCTGAGTGGTCCATCTGGGCACAAGACGGGAGGCCTTTCTTGACAGATATTTCCAATAATCTTCGCGAATTTTAGCTAAATGGGGGCGATTTTGTTCTATAAGGGGTGGAAAATGGCTTGAAAAGTTGCAAATGCCCCAGGGGAACGAATCATACATCAAAGTGATTTTAAATTATTTTCTTTCCTAAATAATATTTATTTCAAAAATTATTTAATCGCGTGCAATAACTTATACTGCCCTAGTTTTGGACTTAATGGCTAGATAAAATAACAAAGCGCCTGCTCTTGACTTGTTGGATTTAGTGAAGTGGGAAGACGAAGAGTATGCACGCTGGCTACACTTTATGAACAAATAAATAAATAAAACAACTTGAAATGAAAAACTATATTTTATTTTAAATATTAACAAAAACCTAATGTTAAATTGTAGCTAATATATTTACAGAAATAAATGTAACAACTTCATGCTCTGTTTGTATTTATTTGGATAAAACAATCATGTTTTTCTTTGTTTCTTTGTGGTATGAAACTTAGTATAAAAATGGACCGATATTTTCTTTGTATGTAACAACTTTGTTCTGTTTTTGTCTATGTCTGTTTTTGGGTAAAATAATCATATTTTTCTTTGTTTGAAACTAGTATACAGGGTATCCTTTTTAGATGGCACGGCTGAAAAAAAAGTGTAACATTTTTAGTCTAGTTTCCAATTTTAACTTTTTTTGAGGAAAAATTATACAGGGTACATCAGGTCCAGTCCATCTTTAAAATTTCACGACCCTATACATCCTAACACATAATTTTAAAGGATATTTTACGCTGAGAACAATGGTGCAAGCAGATTTTAATATTAGCCAAAAAATGACAAAGTTATGGCAAAAAGTTTGTAAAAACGCATTTTTGTTTCGTTGTTAATTTCAATAACGCTTTCTCACTGAAGTAAACATTAATTGCTTTTATTGTTTACATTCTATCATTGTTTTTCAAACTCACATTGGGAGCAAATCTTAATTCCTGGAAGTAAATCAATTTTATAGTATACATGTTTGTTACATTCAGTATTCCATTCAAAATGAAACCGCAGAGCACAAATTAGAGATGTACTCCGGACTTACAATTTTAAGCCGTATCGCTCTCATCTTGTCCATGGACTTCGGGACTCTGATTATACCGGCGTCCAACGTTTCTTGCACAAATGTCGATTTGGGAGGCTGAAGAAAATGTTCTTCCATACATCTTATGGACTGATAAATACAAGTTCACTATGGCATACTAAACTGTTGGAATTTTTGAACGCGGGCAGAGGAAAATCCGAGAATTTCATACTTTTGTCATCATCAGGTAGTTAACAGTATCAACGTTTCGTGCGGACTTTTCGGAAATAAATTAATTGGGCCTTATTTTTACGAAAGTAATTTAAATGGTGCTCAGTTCCTAAATTTTTTGAGGGAGGTTTTACCTCAATCTATTATTATCTATTAGATGATGTTCCTGCAACAACGATAAACGATGATTCTCCAGCTTGATGGATGCCCCGTACATTATTCTTTGCAGATAAACGTTACTTCCAGGTGGGCCTCATCGCCCCTCTTCGGTCACCCGACGTCACTCCATAAGACTATTTTCTGTGGGGCCATTTAAAAAACAGGGTCTACGCCAATCGTAACCAAACATCCTCAGTTGAAGAACTGCGGCAAAGGATAAAAAATGCTTGTCAATCCATCTCCCCTGACTTTATCGCTCTGATCACCGGTGAAGAGTGGTTAAAAAGAGTAAATCTTTGCACCTTTACGCAAGCCAGGCAGTTGGAACGATGAAATGTGATTAATAAATAACACACCAAATGAGTTTTTTTTTTCAAACTTTTTACCGTAACTTTGGTATTTTTAGACTAATTTAAAATCCGATTGCACCATTGTTTTCAGAGTAAAAATCTTTTAAAATGATGTGTCAGGATATATATATAGGGTCGTATTTGAAATTTTGAAGTTGAACTTAGTTGGAACGATGAAATGTGATAAATAAATAACGTTTTTTTTTCAAACTTTTTACCGTAACTTTGGTATTTTTAGACTAATTTAAAATCCGATTGCACCATTGTTTTCAGAGTAAAAAATCTTTTAAAATGATGTATCAGGATGTATATATAGGATCGTATTTGAAATTGTGAAGTTAAACTTAGCCTGAGATACCCTGTATAATTTTTCTCCAAAAACGGTAAAAAATGAATTAAATATAAAAATTTAAAAAGTTGACTAAAATATATTAACACATATTTTTTATAGCGTCATTGGTTCAAGAGAAATTAAGCCGGGCCGTCGAATAAGGACACCCTATATAATATGGAACGATATTTTCTTTGTATGTTACAATAGTATGTTCTGTTTTTGTTTATTTGTATAAAACAAACATGTTTTTCTTTGTTTCTTTGTGGTGTAAAACTTAGTATATAAAATGGATCGATGTTTTCGTTGTATACAATGCAATCTGCTGCTAAGCATATGATTTTAATTAGATATTCATATGGGCATTTTTTATAATTAAATCTTGTTAATGGGGTTCAGAGATAATTGACGAAAAATTATTAATTTGACCATTTTAATTTTTACCATTATATCTTTAAGTTGGTCCATTAAACCAAAGTAATTATTTTGTTTTATTATCTTTTATGCAAAGTATAGTTGAGTTGAAAAATGAGTTTCACGAACAGAACGCGAATCAACTACGTCCGGATGTCGTGGGTTCGAGTCCTTCTCTTGCACTAATTTTTCAACTCAAACATACTTTGTATAAAAGATAATAAATCAATTATTTTTTAACATTGATAATAAAGCGTTTAACAAATTTATTTATTTAGTGATTTGAACAGAACATAGAACATAGAATAACTGACGATGTTAACAAATACGTCTATGATAAATGAGACAGTAAGTAGAGAGAGGAAGTGCTTCTGAACAGTGAGGGACTAAAGATCCCAAATGATATATTTATGAGACATGCTCGTGTAAAATACCACACAAAAATTTCAGAAATGTAAACTGCATAGCTGATGAATAAAAATTTGCCTTGAAGATGACGTGACCCAGGCAGGTCAGCTTCGACTGGGTCCCAGGACACAGGGGAATGGAAGGCAACGAGAAAGCAGACACCCTTGCAAGGCAAGGAGCTGCTACACGGCCGACAGGACCTGAACCCTTCTGTGGCATAGGAACCCACTAATGAGTATCTCAGTACAGAAGGACAAAAAGAAAATGAAGGAACAATGGAATTCACTCATTGGACACAGGCAATCGAAGAATCTCTTAACAATTTTCGGAAGAAAAGAAATTGCAGAATGTGTCAAGGGAAGCAGGAACAAACTGCGAATCCTAACAGGATTCTTAACAGGACACTGCAAGCTAAATGGCCATTTAAAGAAGATTGGACAAATCCAAGAAGGCACATGTAGATTCTGCAAAGAGGCAGAGGAGACACCAACACACACTAACAAACTGCGGTGCTACACTCGCCCGCAGGAGGAAGTGTTTTGGGATGTATAATGTGACCATAGAAGAGCTTCAACCACTGAAACCGGGTCTATTAATCAAGTTTCTTGATGAAATAGGACTCACCGATGTGCTTTAGGCAGAGAACGGGGATACAAAAGCTCTTAAAGGGCGCAGTATATTACACCCCCAACATCACTTCTACATCTAGATCTACATGACGTGACCCAATCTAGCTAAGATGTGCATAAAATCCCATCTCAAATTCGCTAATCAGTTTCAACTCAGATCTGTCATTTTATTATTGCACACTTTTAAATGTAAATTGAAACAAATAACGAAGTGTTTTTGTTAAGAATCTTATTGGATGGTAACAACAACAAACAAAATTTGGATTGTATGACATGATAAAATCATGATAAAAAAGAGATGTGTATCTACAATTTGTCAAAACTGAAAAAGGTCCCAGGTCAGGAGAGAATTTCAGGCAACGATGCAGAAGACATCCTAGTCCAAACAGCAGCTTTAGTTCCTTTCTGTGGCATAAATAAAAGTCACATAAAAGAGCTTGAATTGTACTAAAGATCGGAACGAATATTGGGAACGTATGTAATAAGATGGAATAAGTGGAATTACTTTTCAATAGAAAAAATTACCAATCCTAACGGGTATATTTATGAGACATGATTTAGACAAATAAAACTATAAAAATGGGGCAATCTACAGATGACCAATGCCAATTGAGCCTAGAGGAGATAGAAAGAACAGAACACATCCTTTGTAAATGCCCAACAATAGCAAGGGAATGGCCAGAACGACGAAGACTTCGATGACCCCTGAGAAAATTCTATACCTTATTAACTGAAATCTTCCAGGTAAATCAGTAATTGGGTTCAGACATAAATGACGAAAGTTTATGTCTATAAGGACGAAACCCATTCGACTCGATGTTTAACAACGGTCAACGACAGGCAGAAAGATGGAAAAATAACTATTTAAGATGAGATACTATGAGTAATAAGAAGCGCAAGATTTAAGCGTAGAAATAGACGAAAAATTATTTTTCAAAACGTAATATAGCGCGAGTTAAGGCCTTTAACCCGATAGAAACAGATAAAATCGTACAATTTGGTAGACACTTAGAGATTAACTCTTTTACGATCGATATACCGCCAGCCCTGAAGTAATGACAGGGTTAGGAACACCTGGAGGTAAAGAAGAGGTCAGGTCGAAGTT